CCCGATACAAAACAGTTAACGTGGATTTCCAGGCGTGCCTGGAAATTTTTAGAATTGAGATTCTACCAGGTGGCTCTGAGGTAATGGACATCAATGTTCCCACAATACTAGGATGTGTGGGCAACTGGTAATGGATACTGTAACTTTGAAAATTGTGATCCTGAACATATTCTTAGACTTTATTCAGCATTAATTTGATAACATAATGTTGGTCCCATTATTTAAGGTCACTGTGACTTGCCCTCCTTGTGGCAGTACCAGGATATAGCTGAACTTGGTTCTAGCCTGGCGGGACAGGATGGCCGAGCTGCCAGCGCGTGCCACGATCAAGGTTGGCTGCTCCAGTCTGACCTCCACAAGGCTGCTTGGAGGAAGCCCCTGAGGCTCCAGGCCACCCCCCACACTGGGTACAGGGGAGGGAGTCCAGACTTACCGGGAAACAGGAGGGCGCACAGGATTGCAAGGAGACCCGGCTTGGCTCCAAGTCCTGGCAGGTGGACAGAAGCCCAGGGTGACATAGTGGCTGCACCTGCTGGGAAGAGACCACCTGGGTGAGTGACAGAGGTCAGGAGAGGGTCTGAGCTGCTGCGTCCAGGTGGTGCCAGCAGATACTGGTGAGAGAAAGGAGAGAGAGTGGGAGGGAGGGGGAAGAGAGCAGGGGCGGTGCAGACCAGGGGGCGGGACCAGGTCCTGCGGTTCCAGGGTCAGATCCTCAGAAATGGTAAAGGCGGGGCCTTGTGAAGGGTCAGCTGAGGAACGCATCTGAAATGAAATTTAAAGAAATAAAGGGAGCATTGACTTCCTACTGAAATCAAGGCTCCATTTCAGCTATGCCAAGTATACCAGGGCCCCCTGGATACATTTATGGTAATTAGTTATGCTAATTATAGGCCGACAGCCTGGAGGGAGAGGGCAGTGGGGATGGCCAGAAAGGGCACTTGGCTGGGCCGGAGGGTTGGGTCCTTCAGCACCCATGACCAGACCCAGCTCCTGAGCAACTCCTCTTGGTAAAAACTGAAAGGCAGACATACTCAACTATAATCAAGATTCAAGTCTCAAGTGTCCCCAAGTGCAGGCTGTAATGTTGTGCTGAGTTGGTGAAGAGTTGAGTAGAATACTCTGCTAAAAGAATATTTCAGGGCCATCATTCAGACCCTCAAGCAGGTGTCTGGGCAGCTGTGCTAAAAATGTTAAGTGGAAAAGAGAGTGACAGTGGGGGAGACACATACACAGCAAAATGGCAGGTGGTAAGAGTCTCCATATTAGGTAAGCAATGTAGGTGGGGAGAAATCAGGTGAACTCTTTTCTTCCTACTTTCTCTATTTTTTACATGGTCACCAATAAGGAAATCTTACTTTGGGGGAGAAAATCCACAACCATCTATTGATTTATGAAAATAAATTTTATTTCACATGGTCCGCATTTAAAACTCTGTTTCTAGGGGCGCCTGGGTGGCGCAGTCGGTTAAGCGTCCGACTTCAGCCAGGTCACGATCTCGCGGTCCGTGAGTTCGAGCCCCGCGTCGGGCTCTGGGCTGATGGCTCAGAGCCTGGAGCCTGTTTCCGATTCTGTGTCTCCCTCTCTCTCTGCCCCTCCCCCGTTCATGCTCTGTCTCTCTCTGTCGCAAAAATAAATAAATGTTGAAAAAAAAAATTTTAAACTCTGTTTCTATCAATTATGGTTATCAGTGTTATTCAAATACTGCTCAGATTAAAGGTTCAAAACTGTTGGCCAGGACTCTTTAATAAAGCCTGTCCCAAATCTCCAGACAAGGACTCCTCTGAATGTGTCAAATGACAAAAGTAAAACAATTTACCTTGTACAGTGTGATGTCTTTTATTCAAAGGAATAATCCATGGATTGGGGCTTTCAGTGCCTCACACACAGCAGAGCATGCTTCCCCAGGGATTATGGGCAAGAGGGAGTTTTATGAGCCTTAGATTTTCGATTCTTGGTGTTTGGGCACTGGCTGGCTGGGATAAATGGTGTTTCTGGTCAAGGGAAGCATTTACTGGGATGGGAAAGGTACCTAAGTCTCGGTTTGACTACATGGCACCCTGTGCTGGAGGGGCTCCATCTTGGGCTCAAAAATGTATGTCAACAAGTGACAATGGCTTTCCTTTCCTCTACCTCTCTTCTTGCTGTGGTGCATCTGTGCTCTTCTGTACGTGGCACTAAAGGATCACATTTCTCCAACAGTGACACATGTTTAAAAAATAATAGAGGGAAACTCTTGAGCAGGGCAGAAAGAGTAGTCAAAGCTTTCACCCAACCCTCATGAGGAGAGTGGAGGGTTCTGATCAGGACCCCGCTGTCGCCAGGAAGAGAGAAACTGGGCAGCACTTGAGGGAGCAGGACGTCCTGTCCCCCCAGGCCATCCCGCTGCTGCATGGTGCTCTGATGGCCCCAGACCTCAGCCCCAGGGGAGAGGCGGCTGGGTCACAGCAGGTGTGGACTCAGGCAGACCCTGTGCAGAGGGCCAGGTGCTGAAGCTTGGGCCTGCTCGGTTAACCTCTGAGAGGCTGGCATGCTCGCCTCACCTGGGGCAGCTCCCCTACGCCCCGCAGAGAGTCTGAGATCTCGTCCAGTGTGACCACTTCCCTTGGTCACGTGGAATAAATGGATGCAGACATGATGTCAACTTTTGGTGAATGGGACAAGCCCGAAAGCCCAAAAGAGGAAAGACATTGATATATTTTGATGAGTGGACAGTCCATAAAATATTTTCTTCAATCTTCCACTTATACTTTTATAACACTGTGTGTTGAATACAATTTTTTTAAAAAATCATGTCTTTTCTTAGATGAGTAACCTCTTTTTATTTTTCTTAATGTTTTTATTTATTTTTGAGACAGAGAGAGACAGAGCATGCACAGGGGAGGGGCAGACAGAGAGGGAGACACAGAATCTGAAGCAGGCTCCAGGCTCTGAGCCATCAGCACAGAGCCTGACACGGGGCTCAAACTCACAGACTGTGAGATCATGACCTGAGCTGAAGTCGGACGCTTAACCGACTGAGCCACCCAGGTGCCCCAAGATGAGTAACTTCTCTTTAAAAACCAAGCCCTGAGCAGCGTGCTAGAGAGTCCTACTTTGCTATGAAAGCCCAGAAGCTTAGACACTTAACGATGAATAGAGTAGGGGCCCAAGGCAAGCTTCCCCTGACGGCATAAATATTATTTTGCCATAAAGATGATTTTGAATTAAAGGTAATAAAACCCACCAGATGCAGGAAAATCTCTGTGCCTCGCCCTCAACTACAGCAAATTACACTGGAAAGGGGAGCCTGTGCCAGCAAGAGAGCTATTAACAGAGACTCCCCTTTACCTAAGGAACTTACCTGCATGATTGGGCAAGCTTTTTCTTCCAAACAGCTCCTCTCACTTTCCCGCTCCTGGCCCCTTTGTGTCCTCTGCTCTCTTTAGCTCCCCTAAGCTTCTTGTTGCCTCATTGTCTTTGGAATTTCCCTATGCTTATGCCTACTAAATTTGATTTTCTCCTATCAATCTGTCTCATCACTTTGATTCCAAGTCCAGCTAGAAGGACCAACAGGCAGAGGAAGGTCTTCCTTCCTGGCCAAAGAAAGCATTCATTCCTGAGGTTTCATTGTTCCTCGTCATTAAAGATGAGAAAATAGCTCCCCGGTGCAGGCGGCCCATTCAATATCACGGGACCATGAGCAGCTGAGGCAGGATTCAGACACCCCCTCCCTCCTCTCTACGGTGGGCACTTCTCATTGAGTGGACCTGTCATTTGTCATATCAAAACCAATAACTGCATCAGAGCACCCACTACGTGTGAGGCACGGGACCAGGCCCCTTAGAAACGTTAACCTCGGTTTCGGCATCCTTGGAAATAATACAGTTCTATGCGGCACACATTAGTGTTCTCAGTCTACAAATCATGGCCGTCAGGCTCCTTGGACGTTCCTCACATTGGACTCCTTTAAATAGCTGAGCAGGGGCGCCTGGGTGGCGCAGTCGGTTAAGCGGCCGACTTCAGCCAGGTCACGATCTCGCGGTCCGTGAGTTCGAGCCCCGCGTCGGGCTCTGGGCTGATGGCTCAGAGCCTGGAGCCTGTTTCCGATTCTGTGTCTCCCTCTCTCTCTGCCCCTCCCCCGTTCATGCTCTGTCTCTCTCTGTCCCAAAAATAAATAAACGTTGAAAAAAAAAAAAATTTAAAAAAAAAAAAAAAATAAAATAAATAGCTGAGCAAACGTGCTAATCATTGACCAACCTTATTAGAAAAACATTAGGATCAGTTAGGTTGGTCTGCATTTGACTCTCTCTCCTCCAAGGTAAATGGATGTGTGTGTGTGTGTGTGTGTGTGTGTGTGTGTAGCACATTAATTTAAGAGAAGATTTTTGTGGCTCCTCAAGTGAAAAAGTAGCCTCGCATAGATTCACCAGATTTAATGGAAAAAAAAAGTGCGAAGTGCTACGCAATATTTGGACATAAACCACATAATTATTTTTAAGTTACATAATTATTTGTTGTTTATCTGAAATTCAGGCAAATGCGAGCAAATCCACAATGAGCCATCATCTCCCACCGGTAATAATGACAATTAGCAAAAAAAGAGTACAATAACAGGTGTCATCACCGAAGCCAGGAAGGGAGGAAGGGCAGGGACTCTGGCTGACCATCCTCTGCTCAGAGACCACGTGCAGGGGACATGAGGCTGTCACAGGAGCAGCTCCGAGAGCAGACCGTCCCAGGCAAGAACACGTGTCTGCGCTCCCGGAAAATCCCTGCTGGGCCAGATGGGGCATGGTTTCAAAATCAAGAATATATGCATCTGCCAGCACACAAGAGCAGAAAGAGAATTCTGAAAACAAAATGCAACAAGAGAAATTCCTCCACCAGAATGTTCAAGAAAAACGATGGAGCTACAGCCCTGAAACGAACATAGTATTAGTACTAGATTTTATTCAATCAGCAAAACTTACCTTAAGAGGGGCTGAGGGAGCGAAAGAGAGAGAGAGCATTTCTTTTAAGCTCTAAAGAGTAGGGGTCATGAGGAAAATTTCAGGAAGATTGCAGAACTCTGGAATAACTCTCACGTGCCAGTAAGCAAAGAGCGTGAGCTGTTCTTGAAGCACAATCATTCAGTTAACAGTACTGGACCTCAGAACCTGTAGAAATTTCCTCTAGCACTTGTGAATTAACAGTTGATTGCCTTCTGTGAGAGACTGTTTTAAAAGATCATAACAGAAATCATTGGCCTGTTAAATAATAACAAATACACTTTACTGAACATCAAACATTGTACATATTGATTCCGTCGTTGCAAGTGAAACGTAGGTGTTATTCATCCCATGCTACAGATGAAACAGAGGATCAGGGAAGTTAAGTAACTTCCTGGAGATTGCCTGGCTAAGAGAGAGCACTTCAGTTCTGCCAGGCTCTCAAAGCCTGTGCCCTAAGTAACCTAAGTAACCCACTCGGATGTTTGTATTTCAGGGATTCATTTCTGTCCTCATTTTGCTGTTGCTGTGAATGCAAAGGGTCATCTTGTCATACTTCGCATTCCTTTTCTATAATGTGCTTCCCGAGGTTACACACTACAGTAGTTCGTGTTATTTATGTTGCCTTCTAGCACTCCCTGCTGGCCATTGCAGGTATGTCCTACACCTTATGCTCTGCATTGGAGCCCAGGAAGTGAAGTCTACTACAGCAAATAACTCAGCTTAGTGAGTGGAAGAGCCCAGAAAACCTAGGCAGGAAACCTGCTTTTCAATTGTGTACTCAGGTGTGCTTGGGAGTTTTAGGTCAGCATCTCCTCTTTGCAAGGCCCCCATTTCCCCAGTCTTGAATGAGAGGAGTGACTGGTATATTTGGGGTCTTATGTAGCTGTGAAAACTACAGAGAATTGCTCGTGAATAATGCATGTTTACATCTATATAAATGGAATCGCATTCTTGTCAATCCATCTGTCCATCTGTCCATCCACTAGACTCACTGCTCCTCTGTGCTGCTCCTTCTGCCGCTGGTTGCAGCCACTGCATGAATCCCTCCACCGCCAGTGACAGGCACTTGTCCTGCTGCGCATACTGGCTGTCACCAGCGAGGCTGGCACCCACACCTCAGGGTCTCTGCATGCTGAGAGTAGCATTTCCCTGGGAACGTCATCCCGGGATTGCGGCTGCCAGGAAATACACATACACCTTGTCTCTAAATACTGTGCTTATTATCTGACATCATAGTTTTTACCAACCTGATGGCCACCAAACAGGATCACATTGTTTCAGCAGGTTATTGCCCTGGGCCGCTAATGAGGAAGCTGAGGGTCTCTGTTTATACCTGGCACCCACTGAAGTCTGTCCCTCGGACACTTGGCCATCCGTGCCCTTTGGGCGCAGCAGAAAGAAGGCCGGTGGCAGAGGCTACAGCACCCAGAGGAGCCAGGCTGCCCATGGCCGGGCCCACTTTTCCTGGCCGTGTGACCGGACCCGGTTCTCAATGCGCTGAATCTCAGCTTCCTCGTTTGCAAAAAGGGAAATCAGCAAATACTTTATTGGCTTATAAACTTTAAGTAATTTTTTGGTTTTAATTTTACATTTATTCATTTATTTTGAGACAGAGCCAGAGAGCAAGCGGGGGCAGGACAGAGAGAGAGGGAGAGAGAGAATCCCAAACAGGCTTCAAGCAGAGCCTGATACAGAGCTTAATCTCCTGAATCGTGACCTGAGCCAAAATCAAGGGTTGGTCGCTTAACCAACTGAGCCCCTCAGGCGCCCCTAAAATTTAAATAGTTTAATACAGGTAGAACACTTAGGAAAGTGTCAGGCAAATAAAGATGTTAGTTATAATTATATTTCCTATTAACAATAATATATTATTCTTATAAAAACAAATATACATGAAGCAAATATTACTATAATATGTTACTACAACTATGTCATCCATACGAATAAAGATAAAATGTTATATATGTTAAATTATTAAAATTAATTAAGATTTTAGGAATCTTTATTAATTACTTGTTGATTTGAATGAATTTATCTCTTAGATATTTATCTTTTACGAGTTTTAACTTTCACAACTATTCTCAGCTAATCTATCAATGGTCTAAACTTTGTCTAAAGCACTTTCATTAATAGAGATTCTCAATTTTGTAGCCAGATTTTTTTTTTTTACCACATACGTTGCATATTTGGAGTCCTGCTTAAGAAAACTTATCTTTCTGGGGTGCCTGGGTGGCTCAGTCGGTTAAGTGTCTGACTTCAGCTCAGGTCATGATCTCATGGTTCGTGGGTTCAAGCCCCACATCAGGCTCTGTGCTAACAGCTCAGAGCCTGCTTTGGATTCTGTGTGTGTGTGTCTCTCTCTCTGCCCCTCCCATACTCACACTCTGTCTCTGAAAAGTGAATAAATTTTTTAAAAATTAAAAAAAAAACAACTTGTCTTCTCCAATATTATAAAAAGCCCTGTACCATTTCTTGTTATATTCAGTTTGAGATTTTCACCCACGCTGATCCTGGCATTAGTGTTTCTAGACTTCTGTGAACTCGTCAATCACTCGGCGTCTCCTGGCATTTCCGTAGAAGATCCCTGCACCATATTCAGAAATAAGTTGGTAGAGACGTTTTCAGTTACTGGGAAAATGACAAACTAAGTTGTACTGTTTCTACACTGAATACAATAAGAAAACTGAATGGGCACTGGTGGAGAAAAGTCATGATGTTCACTCCTGATGAGCTGATGTTGAGTACTGACTTATGTAGGGAAAAAAGTTAATAAAATGAAACATACTGAGAATTCTCTTGTATAGACATTAGACCAATGACTGGACTTTTCTGTTCTATATGATCTATTAATTTTGTATACCTATAACTATAAACATGTCAGTAAGAAAAGTAACAAGATGCAGCTTGTGTAAGAAGACATTGCTGATTTTGAAGGTTGTCAGATGTTTGATGATACACCGACGTTAGTACTACATTGCATTTAATGTCAGACTGTAAATTTCATTAGTGTCAGAATTAAAATGCCTCCTCCTCCAGGGAGCTCACCTGGCTGGGGTGTGTGTGTGTGTGTGTATGTGTGTGTGTGTGTGTGGCAGTTTGCTAACAATGCTGACCCCGTACTTGGTTAATACTTCCTGAGCTTGACACCCATGTCCCCTGACCTCCATTCTGTCAGTCAAGGCTACTGGGGCATCACACTGGTCAGCTGTCACATTGCTAGGATCCTAGCTGGGGGAAGGAGGGACAAGGCCCAGGTCCCGTGGGATTGTCTCTGGGCTCCCCAACCACCAGGGGGAGCCCTGGCTCTGTATTCCAGGGGTCCCTCCTGTGGGGAGA